ATAATCTGTATTTGTCTTTTTGTGTATTTATAAATCATATTGCTGTTTTCTTAAAAATTAACTTCTAATTGTTGGTTGCTATGTTATTTTTAGTGTGCTAAGAAATTTTTTAAAATCAGAAATAGATGTTGAATTTTACAGATGTTCTTTTTGTATTTACTGTGATGCTCATTTTGTTTTTCATTTTTAGTTGATTAATATTTTGTTTAGAATTTTCCAAACTATGTTTATGTGGAATATGCATCTGTGGCTCTCTTTTCTTATAATGTGTTTGTTTTGTTTTGGTACCAAGGTAATGTTACCGAACAACAAGAGGTCCGAGGGAGGGGCAATACAATATTTGGCCCACCTAGGGATGCCCAAAACTGCTATACAACAGGGGCCCCTCCCAAAAACAAAATACTAATATCTACTGGGCCCTTCTGTCCGCCGCCAATTGGAAAGACATCTCTCAATGCCAGAGATTTGTGAAAAGGAAACAAAATGTTTATTTAATGCTATTCAGGCCTAATGCCACCACTAAAATATCAAAGTCCTTTAGGGTATACTCCTACACCCACACAGCGCTCCCTTCTCCCACTGTCCCAACTCCGGGTACCGTAAATCAGGAAAAGAGCACACGTCCCTTTTTCAGGCCGCTGGTGCCATCAGCTGTGTCACTGTGCAGGATCTCGAGTTAATCCAAAGTACCGTGGTACCCTCTCATAGTCCACTGGCAAGAGTTCTTTGTACCCAGTTCCAGTCAAAGTCTCTCTTGCTTTTGCAGGCCACGCGGCCAAAGGGGGCACCCCAAAGCGTGGGGTGTGGGCCTCTTCTACCAAAGCTGCAGGAGTCCGCACTCCACCAAAAGCATGTGGCTTTCTTCTTCACCTGGCTGCAGGGATCTCCATTCTGGCAAAGCTGCGTGGTTTTTCCCTTTCACCTGGGAAAGAGGGGGTCCGTACCCTGCCAAAACCACGTGGCTCCCTCTTTCACCTCACCAAGAGGGGGTCCTCACTCTGCTGAAACCGCGTGGCTCTCCCTTCATCTGGCCAAGCGGGGGCCCTTCATGTCTCGGAGCCAGTCTTTTCCAAGCTCCCACACAGGCCTTCTCACTCAGGAGTGCAGACTAGTTACATCCTCCTGAGTCCAAGCCTTTCTCACTCAGGAGAGCAGCCCCTAGTTACCTTCTGAGTCCAAGCCCTTCTCACTCCGGAGAGCAGCCCTTAGTTCCCATCTTGAGTCCCCAAGTTCCATCCTCAGTCCCTGCTACTCCCTTCTCACTCAGGAGTGCAGCTCCCAGTTTCTTTCTCCTGAGTCCCTGCCACAACCTTCTCCCCAGCTCCAAACTTGCCACTGCTATTTAACATATCTATGAAACCAGTTAAAGGTTATAGATATGTTAAATAACCATTCCTCCAGAGGTTAGCTCCAAAACTGTTGCTATGCAAAATAGCTCTCAATGGCCCTGGCTCCATTCATCCCTTCCCCCTGGGGGGGGGTGAGGACATCTTAATATGTCTCTCCAATATTCCTATACACTTTGAATTCTGGACACCTTTCTAAATCTTTTTTTTTGGGGGCCCCCCTGGCTGCACCCTGTATCAGTAATGCTGACATCATGAATGAGTCGGAAAGTAGTCTCTCCTGAAATTTCTGGAATAGTTTCTGTAACTTTTGGTGTTTTAGCAGACAATTTGAATTTTGTACTGCAAGTCACTTTCTTCAATGGCAGTTTTTATTTTATGTAAGATATTATGTCTTAGGATCTGTTTTCTTTCTGTTCTGCAAATGTTACTCATGTGCCAGACAAAGAGGTAAGTAGATGGAATTTGGGAATCTTCTCTTTTTGTCTCACCCTTTGGGATTTTCTCTCTAGGACTAGTAACTATGGTTCTAGGTTCAGTCTTCAGTTTTACCCAAAGCAGGAAGACTGCAGTTTTAGCCATTCCAGTAATTTCAGATATTTTAGCGACTGAGACTGCTTCAAAGATAATGCCATAAAAACAGGAACTCATTTCTTAGAAACCCCCCTACTCCACGTTTAGACTCTAAAAGGACATGTCTGTTTTCCTCCAATCTCCAGTGCCTAACACAAGTACTTTTTATATTATATCCAGAATTTATAGCTGTCCTCTGTAGGGGGGTCAGGACAGTAGACTCTTAGGTGCTCCTGGATGCGGAGGCCTCTGTGCTTGCTTTCTATATTTCCTCTGATCCTTCCCTCAATTTTAAGTTTCCTTTTTTTAGGTACTGGCTCATTTAGTGTGCCTGTGTCTACTAACCTCACTGCCACTTCTGCGTGCTATACCTAATCTGCTATGAACTTAGAAATAAATTCTCCTGACATAGTAGATGTTCTTATATTCATAAAGATTATGACCTTAATTACATAAATGTTGTTTAACAGTTCGGCTATTTTTGATTATTATTTAATCACTTTCTGGTTTCAATTTTGGCTGCATTTCTTAAATTTAAAATTCTTATTGTGTGAAAGTTGAAAAAGCAAAATGTTATTCATATATGTGTAGACTATTTCATAGATCTATAAGCATGCTTTTTAAAATTTGGGCCAATTTACACAGCATCATTCAACTGCTTGAGAGAAATATATGCAAAAAAAAAAGACGCCCAGAGATTTGTCTTTATCAATTATATAAGTAACATAATGATTTATACATATTTGGGTAGGATAAATTTATAAAATAAAAACTAAAATTTGTTTTCAAATGTTGATTATCCAGGGTGGGTTTTTGATTTAGGATTTATTGCTAATCTTGAGCATTTTTTATACAATAAAATAAAGCATTTGCTATTTTCTCTTTTTAAAGCTGTTCCTAGGATGCCCTTTAAGTGAAAGGCTTACTAGGTTTTATAGCTGTGATTTATTATCAGCACTACTGGAATATATAGCATAATATATACCAGAAGTGCTGAGTCTATTATTTGAATCAGTACAAGCTCACATAGCTCATTAAGACTGCCTTCAGTTGCTCAATTTTTCTGTCCATACTTGATTTCAGAACATTCTTATATTTTTAATTTGCCTAAACTTGAAGTTTATGTATTTACCAATACTTTATGCACGTCTGAACTTTGCCATCGGATCCTAAGAAATACATGTTCTTTTTATTCCCATGCACAAGAATACATCATTTGGTAAGTGGTTTTACTCAAGTGTTGTCTAAACAACAAATACATGTGGATGGATAAAGTTAATGTCCCTGTTCAACCACACATATCTTTATATTTGTCAAGCTAGTGATTTTCTATTCTCCCTGATCCAGATGTACGTGTATATGTGTATATACACATGCATACATAGGTGGTCTCTAAAATAGCTTCCCCTTCAGGACCGAACAGAGGAAGCATATAGGGAACATAATAATAGATTTAAGCAATTTTGATTAACTTAGAAGAAGCCGTTTGCATGCATTAAGACATGACATTGTTATCAAAGAAATAACTGACAGAGCTGGGGAAATTTTTATGTGGCTGAAGTGAGTAAAAACCATTCTTCAATTCTCAAATGCATTAGAAATGTTATAATAGAAAAATTGAGGATGGCCTAAAAGGGCCTAAATAGTAGCAATAAATGATGTTCAATAAAAATGTAGACTATCATAAAAGTTTTGGAATGACAGTCTCCAGTGGGAAATAGCAGAAGCCTTGAAGAAAAAGACTTCAAGAAGTATATTGTCATCTTGGTGCCAGAAAAAATTCTTGAATAGATCTTAGCATTTTCATTTGTTATTTCTGAGCCATTACAATAGTTAGAATATGTTATAGTGAGGACTGTGGATATCCATGTGGGTGAGTGTTTTTGTTTTTGAACTGGGCACGAGTTCATGTCCTCTGACCTTTGTGAGTTGTGGCAAAGTTATTAAATAGTCATGAGTTATAGCAACTAAAGCCATAAATCCAACTTGTGACTTATGTAGGAATAACACCTGCTGGTCATATGAACACTCCAAAGCCATCCATTTTATGTATTTCTGTGTACGTATTCACGTATGTGTGTATGTGCACGTATGTATGTAGGCATGGCTGTTCTTGGCAAACATTAAGCAAAATCAAAATACACCTTAGATATGTAACTTGAGGGTTGTGTAGGACAACCCTACAGAGGAAGGCAATGTAATGGGTGGGTAAGGCAGAAATCTTGCAGGCCTGGCTGAGGCCCAGGCACCAGAGTAGGAAGATGCAGTGACTTTCTGATCAAACCAGGGAAAGTGTGGGAATGACCAATATTTAAAAAACTGATTGAAAATTTCATACTCTTTTCCATAGGGGTTGTACCAGTCTGCAATCCCACCAACAATGGACTAGGGTCCCCTCTTCTCCACAACCTCTCCAACACTTGTTGTTTGTTGCTTTGTTTATGATGGCCATTCTGACCAGTTTAAAGTGGTATCTCATTGTGGTTTTAATTTGCATCTCTCTGATAGTTAGTGATATTGAGCAGTTTTTCATATGTCCCTGGATCTTCTATATGAACTGGAAAGTATTATGCTGAGTGAAATAAGCCAGGTGTTGAAAGACAAATGCTATATGATCTCACCTTTAACAGGAAGCTTAACAACAAAACAAATGAGCAAACAAACAAACACTGAAATAGAGAACAAGGGGACAGTGACCAGAAGGGAGAGGGGAGGGAATTTCAGGGGAAAAGGGGGAAGGATTTACAGGAACTAGTATAAAGGATGCATGGACAACAACTAAGGGGGGTGGAAATGGGAGGGAGGTGGGAAGGGCTGGGGGGGTTTGCCTGAGATGGGAGTAAAAAACAGAAAACTGTACTTGAATAATAATTTAATAAATTTAAAAAAATTAAAAAATATTTTTTAAAAAGTAAAAAAAAATAAAAAGCTGATTGAGCTACAACTTATGATAACAGGATTCCTGGAATCTTAAAAAGTGGCACCATTAACTGGTTGTAGCACAAGCATTTAAGAGCTGATGGCAGAGAGCAAACAAGCGAAGAGGGCAAGTCTTCAGGAGTGTCTCCTGTCTGTCTGCAGGATCCTGGGCATTCTTCCTGTGAGGGAAAGAAGGAATCATGTCACTGACGAAGATATTTCCAATGTGAGCCACCAGTAGGACACATTGACAAACCCTAAGGAATTCTACTAGGAAAAGAACACACATTCAAATTTCTTTTATGGTAGGTAAATAGATTTGATGGCTATGCAAAGTACGCACATTAATGTTTTATATACACATGCGCATAGAAAACTATTTTTGTCAAAATTCTTAATATTACTGTATGAGGTAGTTTTGTCCTTCTATTTTAAAAATTATGTTTCTGGAAAAGGAAGCAAGATACATACAAGTAGTCTATACAGGGTCTAGACCAGTATATTTAGTCTGATAGACTATTTAATAGTCTGCTAGTCTGATTTAGAGGCAAAATGAAAATCTAGGTGGACCAGTACCTTGGGTTGGAGGATATTTGTTGCTGAATACAACCCATTTTATGTTTGAGAATGTCAGGAACCTGGAGTAAAGCCATATATATATATGAAGTTAAAAAATCTGGATTATCTTCTGGAGGGCAGGCCCTTGTAGTACAGGCTTCTCCCAGTAGGTTAGTGTTCTAGGAACCCATCTGTATTAGTGTATCAGCTGGTGTTATTGTGAGAGGCTGTATTCAGCTTCAGTGAATTATTTTTGAAGACTCTTTCACTGAGTTTGCTCATTCCATGATGGGTGATTTATGAGCACACCTGCCTACGCTGTGCTGTGTTCAGCAGTTTTTGACCAAAAATGGCATGATCTCTGTGTCCAAACCTTCCTTTTTCACCCGATCTCACCAAGCATCTTTTTTGTTGTTGTTTCCCCACATGAAAAAAATCCTCAAAGGAAAAGCTTTTGCCAATGTGGAAGAGGTGAAGCAAAATATGGCAGAAGCACTAAAAGGCATCAAAATTGATGAATTCAAAAACTGATTTGAACAGTGGTAAAACATCTCGACAGGTATATTAGAGAGTGCATCAAATAGAGAGTACTTTGAAGGCGACTGAAGTTAACTATGTAAGAATATACAATTTTTATAAATAAATTTCATTTTTGGGTCCCCCTTGTTATATGTATAATATACTCATATTCCTATCTACATACACACATACATACATCAAAGCAATTATTTTCTTATTTTGCAAAATACCATTGAATTCTGATGCAAGTATAATCTTAATACTTCCAAATTACAGTACCCTGATTGTACTTTCATGGTTACATTAAATGATATGTTAAAAAAGATGATACCTGAGTGACCCTAATCTAGCTACATAACCCCTTTGAAATGGAAGAGATATTTTTCTAGCTGGTGGTTGAAAAGGAGGACATAGAGGCAAAGCGTGAGAAGGATTCAGGATTGAACCCACCATAGCTCACTTGTGCATATAAGAAGCCACATGACAAGAAATGCAGGTGGTGGCCACTCCTGAGAGCCAACAAGAAAACAGCTACAGTTCTACAAGTGCAAGGGAATGAATTCTGAAATCAGTCTGAATGAGCTTAGAATCAGATTCATCCCCAGAATCAGAGAGTAAGAGCTCATCCTGGTTGACACGTTGATTTGGGCCTATGAAATCAAGCAAAAAGCCCCACCTGCACTTCTGGCCCCTGAGCAGTAAAGGTAATAAGGGAGATTGTTTTAGGCCATTACATATATAGTAACTAGTTACATGGTAATAGAAAACCGATTGAGTCTACCATATGCTCTGTATGAAGTTTGGAAGACTGTTGCTTCTTTTGAGATGTTCACAGCATAGTAAACAAGGCAGATGCATGAGCACTCAATATAATTGTAATGTATTACATGAAATGATAGAAAATACTATGGGAATGCAGATATATGATGGCATATTTGGCCTGGGGAAAGCAGGAGAAGCCTTTTGGACATTGTTTGTTGGATTCTATAATGAAAAAAATAATGCATACCCAGAGCAAACAATATTACTAGGCAAAAGAGATACAGATTATTAATGTATGAATATTCACATCCTTGCAGAAGTGATTGAAGGCACAAAGAAGGTCAGTCTCAATTTCATAAGAAATTAACTAGTTTAAGTGTGAGTGTACCTTAGTGTTTGAAGAAATAAGTCAATTTTAGAAAACCCATTTTATCACATTGCAAGGAGATTTTCTCCAAACGTGGTCTGACTAAGCAGTGCTAACCATCATTGAGTAACTTCATTGAATTGCTAGGATGTATTTAATAGCTTCACTAGAGCAGGAAAGTAAGTTTTAAGCCTTGAAAACTTCTCTGTCAGGTAAGATTAGATTCAGCTGGGAGTGACTCAAACCTCAAATAACAATGGTCATAAGAAGATGGGGCAGGCATTTATTTATCATGTAAAAGTCTTGAAGTTGGCCATGGGGAAGAAGTGGTTACTTCATGGTATCAGGGATCTCAGTTTTTGTGACTGGGAAACATGTGTGCCTTATATTCCCAAGGTCACTTCATTATATATTTGTCTGTTAGAACTCCGTAATTTACATATGGTAAAATCCCTTCAGTGGGAAGCTGTCAGGATGGTCACGCAAACCATACTTTCACATCCCAGTAAGGTCATCATCCAGAACTTGCACGTATTGTTTTCACTTATAAGTTATTGGTCAGTTCACATAGTCACTGGCTGCAAAGAAGGCTAGAGCATGTAGTTCTATTTCAGGTGGCCACATGCAGTACTAAAACTCATGCATTCTATTACTATTGTACAATGTGAAAATTAGGTACTTTGCATAGGTATCATCTGTGTCAGCACCCATATGTTCTCTTTAAGTTTTAAATTTGTTCACTTTAAGAAAAGCTCAGTTATTTTTAGTATCACCACAATATTTTAGCATCAACAATGTTTTAATTAAAACACCATATCCCAAAGTTTTTAAATTCAGGTGGCCATGGGTGATTTAATAATGAAATTGGAAGACAATATAGGTGTTCAAAGAACTTACTTAGACATAGTATAAATAATAATTATTCATTTTTAAAAGAAGAATATACCATCTACTATTTTTTAGGATATAGTATTATTTCTCACTTTTAAGCACTAGACATTCGGAAAAACCAGTTTAAAGTCTTAAAGTCTATTACTCACATAGCAATTAGAGTGCATATTTTTAAGAAGTTTACAAATAAGAATTTTAAAATATTTTTATAGCTTACAAAATTAAAATAATTTAGTAAGTCTGACTTGGTTGGAGATGCCAAAGACTCTAATATATAGGCAGGTATCTTTTCTTCAGGAAACTATTCTTTATTTAGTACTTAAAGAGAGTAAGGGTATGTCATTAAATAGCAACTTTTATAAATGTTTGCTGTCTTCCTTAGAAAAGAATGGAGTTGGAAATAAAAAGCTACCTCCTAATAGTCTTGAAAAATCTCAATATCAGATTCATAATAGATATGAAAATCAGGGGCTTATAGTCACTGGAAGGAGAAAAATGGATTTGGGGTTCCTCAAAAAGCTCCATTCCTAGAGAATTTTTACTTTTTTTTTTAGAAACTTCCTAATTTGTTATTGTGTTTGTGTCTGTCTTTATAAAACCTGACTCAGAGCTCACTCAGTGAGGAAAGCACCATCCTCAGAACACTTGTAAAAAAGAAAATCAGTGACAGTTGTTTAACATTGTAGATACCTGAAGTGGCTGTAGTAATTGAAGTAAATAAGAAACTGGCCATCGTTTTTAAAAAGAATTTATGACCAATGGGAAACAAAAGGCAGAGATTGGTGGGATGTATGAAAACACCATCATCCCACAAGATGCTGTCTATAAGGTCAAGGAACATGTATGAATACCCATGGACAAAGCCAAGGGGGGCACAGATTAAGAATGGGAGGTGGAGGTAGGTGAGTGGGGGAGGTAAAATGGAGACAACTATACATGAACAACAATAAAAATAACTTAAAAGACATACTTTAGAACCAATGATAAAAATAGATTTAAGGATGAAAAAAGATATACAATGCAAACAGTAAACAAAAGAGAAGAAAATGGCATACTAATATTTTATTTAAGAGACTTTAAGGTCAAAATTATTATTGAAGGTAAAGAATTACACTTATAATAATAAGAGATAATTCATAGAAACACATACCATTATAAACACATAGGCACTAATCAATAAAGCCCCAGAATACCTGAAGTAGAAACTCAAAAGAATTGAAGGGAAAGTAGAAAATCCAATAATAATAGTTTTAGAACATAATTCCCCACTTCCAATAATGGAACAACTAGACAGAAGACCAGAAAACAAATAAGAGATGTGAACAACAGTATAAGCCAACTAGATCTTACAGACATATATGGGACACTCCATCCAACAACAATAAAATACATACTCTTCTCAAATGCACATGGAACATTCTCCAGATAGGCCTTATATTATGCCATACAACAAGCTGAAATAAATTTAAAAGAATTAAAATAATAGAAAGTGGATTCTTTACCAACAATGGAATGAATTTAGAAATTAAAAATAAAAATACATTCAAAATATGTCCAAGCATGTGGAAATGAAAGAACATACTGTTAAATAACCTAATAACAAATGAGTCAAAAGAGAAATGTAAAGGGTGAATAAAAAATACTTTGAGTTGATAGAAAATAATAATACAAGATACTAAAACTTATGGAATGCAGCTAAGGCAGGACTCAGAGTAGTTATAAATGCTTACATTAAAAAGTTAGAAAGACCTCGTCAATAATATAATCTTAGGAAACTAGAAAAAATAGAAAACTAAAGTCAAAGTGAAAAGAATGAAAAAATAATAATGATTAAAGTGTATATAAATAAAACAGAAAATATAAAAAAAATAAGAAGGAAACAAAACCCACATTTGGTTATTTGAAAAGGTCAACAAAATTGACAAGGCTTTAGCTAACTTGACCAAGAAAAAGTACTGAAAACCTGAGTTACTAAAATCAGAAATTAAAAAGAGAACATTGCTTCTGACATTAGAAAAATAATTATGATTATAAGAGAACACTATGAACATCTGAACACAAACAAGTTAGGTATTTAGATGAAAGGGACCGAATGCTATGAAAATACAAACACTTAAAACTCAAGAAGAAATAGAAAATCCAAGTAGCTCCAAAACAAATAAAAATGAGCACATTAAAATTTTCTTACAAAAAGTCTAGAATTCACTGATGAAATTTAGCAAATACATAAAAAACAAATGTCAATCCTTTACAGACTCACAAAAATAGCAAAGGAGAGAAAAAATAATTGATAACAAAACAAATGACATAACAGAATAAGGAAAAGATACAGACCAATATTCCTTATACATATCAATACAAAACCTTCAACAAAATGCTAGTTAACAGAATCCAGTAACATATAAAAAGGATTATATACAACAACCAATGAGATTCATTCAGGGAATGCAAGGTTGTTTTGAGATGTGAAAATCAATGTACTATGCCATTTTAAAAGAATAAAGAAGACAAACGACATGATTATCTCAATAGACATAGAAAATTTTACAAAATCAAACACTCTTTCATGACAAAAATACTGTGACCTAGGAATAGAAAAGCATTTCTCAGAAAACTCATAGCTAATGTTATAACAGGGAGAGGCTGAATGATTTTCCCTCAAGATCAGAAACAAGGCAAGAATGCCTATTCTCACCAGCTCTATTTAACATTGCACTGGATGTCCTAGCCAGAGCAATTAGACAAGAAAAAAAATGTATACAAATTGAAATTGGAGAATTAAAAAAAGTATATGATTATCTAACCCCTATTCTATACATTTGAAACTAATATAAAAATACTGAATGTAAACTGTAATTAAAAAATAAAAAAGAAACATTAAAAATATTCATTCTCAGGGAGCAATTAGGCAAAAAAAAAAAAAAGAAATAAAAAGGGGTCTAAACTGAAAACTAGGAAGTAAAACTACTTCTAATCTCAGATAATTAATTGGTATATAGACTACCCTAAAGAGGCTATGA